CCGGTTATGTCCCCCAGTTACGTGTTAGGAAGAGAAGGCAGAACAGAATAGCCGATAGTACTGTACTGTCAGTCTTACTAGTACATCAGCTCTGTTACCTGTGTGTCCAGCAATTTGTCTTCTGTGGTGGGACTCGTCTCGGTAGCAGTCTCTCGTCTAGGGCAACAGAGTCTCGGTCTGCTCGCAGCCTCGCTATTTAAGGGGCAGTAGTAATTGCTCCCCATTGGCTCTCCATGAGTGGCCGTGCGCGCGCTTTGCTCCTGGCCAGACGTGACCTCAGCATGTCCGGGGTCTTGCATGGTTTCTGCCGTTGAGAGTCGCGTGACTTGGCCCGTTCTGTTTGCGTCGGACTGGCCTGTTCGCGCGCCTCTGTCCGGTGTGACTTCCGGATATGGTCAGCGGCGGTCTCGTGTGTTCCGTCTTTGTTATCCTGCCTCGGAGACAGCGCGAGTGTTGGGCCCTCCCAACAGAACCTGTTCAGTGAACTGACGTGGTTTAGTGAGGGACGTGAAGTCCTACAAATTTCAGAAAATGGCGAGCTTGACATGGCCATATAAATGCCAGATGAAGGTTCGAATGAGAAAATACCGACAGCGACCAGCTTGGTAGTCAAGTTGACCAAATTGCGATATTTTTGATCGACCGCTCGGCAAAAGAGCGACAAAATTTGGCTCAAATGATAGGCAACAGGACGTCAGCCTGGATAAAGACGCATTAGAAGCGACGGCAGAGTCCGAGGTCTAAAGTTAGGGAGCGTTAACCATAGATGTTGATGGTGATGCTTTCGGTGGCCTGCAGACAGGATTGCGAAGGCTTGAGATGATAACGTCTAGGAGGCGGAATGATGCTGATCGATCAAGAACCGGAACCCCGTGGACCTGTCGGTGAGGTTAAAGAGGCGACTTGTTCGCGACTGGCTACCTGCAATCGTCACCATTACTAGCTGGAGGAGTCATTTCCCAAATGTGGCGGTATTTCGTAGTTCCACGGTTGAGTGCACTGACGCGCTTTCGGGCCACATATACGGGGATGTTTGCACAGGGTTTAATACGACCACTCCCTTGACTGCGAAAAGTCGCGGCTAGATTGCCCACGATCCGTCTGAAGACGATTATTGACGGAACACGCAGTGCTTACTTATCAGCACAAAAAATAGTCTCTTTAAAATCCTGCACATTGTTGCTTTGTGGGTCAGATTGTCCCCACGCTAGGCCTGCCGGTGATGTCCGTCGAGATTCGGAACGAAAGCAAGCTACTGATCCTGAATGCGATATAGTTCGCTTGGATTAAGGGTTCACACCAGACGCAACAGTTCACGGTACACCTGACCTTTTGTGAGAAGCCGTGCCCTGCTGGACAGATGGATAGGAACTTCCACTAAGGTAGTATTCCATTATACGATCGGCGTGCTTAGCCAGTTTCGTTAGCGAGGTGTTTTCATCTAGTATGGCTAACACGAGCATCCGAAAAGTGCATCGTCCATACTACGATCAGTCAGTAGAGAACGCATATGACACATCAATGTTAATGGCGAAGAATTCATTAAATTACTATCAGTCAATTAAGCCGTATGCTGGATAACCGCTTCTTTCATTAGTGAGTATGGCTTCTCGGAAGGTATAGGATTAAGAAGATCCTGAACGGTAGCGATTTTACAACATATGAATAACTCATATTCTCACGAGAGATGCGACGAGTAAAAAAACTCCTTCGATTTGGATAAACCCAAGGTGTGGGTTGCTGAGAGCAAGGTACAAGCAGAAAAAAGTGCAACAGACTGACACAACGTTGTCCGATGAGTGAGCTGGCATGGATAAGTGATGTGGCGAGATATTTAAACTTGTAAATGATGGAGTTTGATCGGCATTTATAGGTAACTCGTAATTTTTTATTCTGATTTGTACAAAGTTGGACGATATTCTTAGTTTGTTTGCAATTTTTCCACTTCAATTGTGCGTTTACGTTTTCTGGCAGAAATGTTCTAGTGAATATCATTGTTGGGAGCTAAGATTTTCTCATTTTTTGAAAACACTGGTGCTTTTCAAGCTTTTGGAATGCTCTGTGTCTTCCGGGGGATATTTGATTTTTTCCTTTATCGCGAGGAAAACCATCTTAATCGGCTCTGCCTGCTGAAGGGGCAGAACCACCCTCTTTCGTAGTTTATCGTGAGTATTCAAGTGGTAAATATAAGTATAGTTCATCCGCAGATGGTCATGGAAAGACATTTTAGTTGTGAAGTTTTGAACCTGACGCGTAGCTCGGCGATCTAGACCTTTCTGACATGATTATCTTGAGCCTCTCTGCGTAAAGTCCTGCCTTGACCCCTAACCCAAGAATAGTATTTGCCGTACTTCGCGGGGCTCTTCTTGAAGAGGGAATTTAGTGTTGTTGGGTGCACAAGGGCTTTCTCGTGCTGCGTCCTTACCACAATCGTACTATGAATCCTTCGTACGCGAACGACTTGGCACTGAAGTTAGAGAACACACTATCTCCAGTACTAGAAGAAAGACGAAAAGCGGAAAATTTTCTCAAGAGTGTTGAAAAACAGCCGGGATATTCTGTCTGCCTGCTGTCCATTTTGCAGGATGCAGCTCGGCCTATGCCAATAAGGCTTTCGGCAGCAATTACGTTAAAGAATTTTATCAAAAACCATTGGAAACTTGTAAGTTGTTAAACAATTTTGAACCTCTCTGTAATTTTTTGAGTTTGAGTCTCGAGCTTGATGTCATGAT